GGCGAGAGATGAACAGATTGAAAAGCTGCATGATGAAACTATTTTAAGTCAATTACTTCGCAATGGAAGGAGCATTGCATGAAGCTCGAGAGATGGAAGTATCACTTGAGCGGATGGCCTTGATGGTCGTTCCACTACAAGAACCTTGCGAAGGTACTAAAGATGTTGGGCTGACTACTGGGAATGGATCTACTGGAAAATCCGGAAAAAACATGTTTCAACAAATTTTGACACCTCTTACAAGCTCTTACAAGCTATAATTGTCCATCCTATGGTTAAAAGTGTGACAAGTGGGGCTCGATAGGGGAGAAAAAGACCCAAACCTGAAAAAAAAAAAAAAAAAAAAATAAGTCAATAGTGTACGCTGTGGTGTTTACCATTTGTTTTATAACATAACATTGATACTTTGTAGCTAAAGAGTTCCCTTTTATTTAACAAATCTTACGCGACCAGAAAAAACAAGCGCGCGCGGAAAAATAGTCTTTGCATTTGCTCACGTAAGCAGCGTACACCCATGGGCAAATGGGGAACGCTAAATTGACCAATCAGAGCGCGAGCTTTACTTTGGTTATGTTATAATTGAATATGGAAGAACGTATTTTGCAATATAAGGAATTTAAATGTGTAGTAATGAATGAAGGACGGGTATGCGCCATTAAATACTGGTCGATGAACAGAGCTTCTAAATAATTGCTTTGCCTTGGCCCGTATCTAATGATGAGATAAAAATCCCACTGGCTATTTGAATTGATATAATATCTGTGAAGTCAGACCGGAAAGCCAAAACGACAATTTAACTGATATCTTGCCTTGTTGTAAAACAATGATACAGGAGAAAATATGGGCCCTTGTAGAACCTTGAGATAAAGGCAACTGATCAGTTATTTTCGCATTCGGCATTAACACCATCTTGGTGCGAAGATAATTCGAATTCGAATTCGCTTTCCGTACTTACGGCTAATGGATAAAGTTTTTTCTTCGACAAGAACCATGTTTCTTCGAACATTGTCAAAGAGGATACTGTCGGCAAGATGTGGGAGGCTCGGGTAATAATATTTTTTACAAACGGACGAGTCTTGATCGCTATAGTTTTTTGTCATATCACCCTCTGTCATTTCCAAACAGATTTATAACTGTTAATTTGCTTGTAAGAGGAGCAGCTTGACGAGTTTATCTAGACAGATTGACGTTAAACAATATGCGCACAGATTTATTGCCCTAACAGGGAGGCAAGGTGAGAGAAATTTAAAAGCTCACCCTCGCGGTATGTCGAGAACTATGGCTGCAGGCCCATCAATTCCACTTTCTATCAGTACTTTTCTTTTTTTTCCATCCATACTACCCACTTCGATTCTTTTAGTTCCCACGTCTGTCCAAAAGATATTTCTTCCAGGCTTGTCGATGACCAAACCAAGTGGTTTTACTACATTGCAACTGAATAAAACTTTTAAGGAAGTTGCATTTGAGAAGACACTGAGGATCATACCCTGCCGAATATCCGAATAATACACTCTGTCCTCTTCGGGTAAATAATCCAAAGAAGCCGGCGTCACTATTCCAAAGTGATATATTTTGGCTTTGGCTGTAAACGTGCCTATGCTCAAGTCAATTGCCTTTGTGGTTTTGTTTTGACTGTCATTAAACAGCAAAATCGTATTGGGCCCTCAGATAAAGACAACGAAACTAATTACTTGGGTATCATTGCTTAAGTTATCAGCCGTCATCACAGAGTTGAACATGTAGTTGCTCTGCGAATTAAAGGTAAATATTTTATAAATGATTACTCTCCTCGACCTCTTCTCTTACCATGATGTCAACTACGTCTTCCATTATTGCAGTGATTTTACGCGAATGTTTGGTAAACTGCTGGGTAACATATTATTCTTGAACAGCACGATTGACAATTCAGTCATTTACAGTTTGTTATGTCATCATTGAAAAATTTTCGATACTGGTAAATTTTCTTTTTTTGCCATCTACCAATATTGAAATTTTATAAATTATATTATGCAAAGTTAAGAATTGATAGCGGGGCTCCTATGCGCGCTTTGCGCGCGTGGGGTAGAGCCCCATACCCATGGAATATGGTCAACTTCTTTTCGTTTGGTTGTCACGTGACTGACCGAGCGTACTTACATAGGTACGTGCCAAAGGGATGGGTGACTCACGCGAGTCTTCGCAAATGCACATCTATTATGTTATAATTAATATTACGAACTTGGGAGCTCCGCATTTAGGCTTGGCTAAATCTATATATTATGTCGTTGAAAGGCCTTACTTTCTTGTCAGTCAGAGCTAAAGTGACACACACCTTTCAATGACCTTACGGCGTGATTGCTCCTCAAAATCAACAGAAGCAAGTAACATATAACTGCTTGCCTCATAATTCTCCTTTCCACCTGTTAGATTAAAGGAGCAAAGAGACATGTTATGAATCGCTGTTTAAAATGATCAATTTTGAAGTTAAAGTAAACCTACAGTGGTAGAGCTCTTTCCAAGCTGGTTACTAGCAAATAATTATACCGCTGTTGAATGAAAAAAGATTCAAATTTTTTTTTTTGTGAAGGTAAGTATACCAAGACATTATTTTCTATTAGTGATTGTGTGTTCGCAAGCGGTCATCTTTACGAAAAATAATCTGCCAGAAGAAACCATGAAATAACAGTAAGGCAGTAAAACCAAAATTTACCTAATAATACTTTAAATTTAAATTTTCGATCAAGGGGCTGTCGTATCTTATTCTGTAAAGCCATCGATATCTCATGTATAATAAGCAACGGAAGTTCGAAACAAAGCTGAAAAAAGCACAAATACTTCGTTTGGCAGGCTTTGAATTCCAATACATTTCATAAGGCATTTCTGATCCTAGACTGATTGATGCGATGGGGAATAATATATGTATTATATGGTTTCAAAAGCTTGATGCTCATTTTCGTGTAGATGACAATTCATCGTGCGAAAGATATCCCCCTGATTCGTCAACTCGCACCACCTACACATGGAGGAATTGCTAAAATAATTAACTCTGGTCACGCTTCCAAACGAGTCCGTCTCTGTAATTTTAATGAATCTTCGAACGAAAAGGCGAGAGATGAACAGATTGAAAAGCTGCATGATGAAACTATTTTAAGTCAATTACTTCGCAATGGAAGGAGCATTGCATGAAGCTCGAGAGATGGAAGTATCACTTGAGCGGATGGCCTTGATGGTCATTCCCCTTCAAGAACCTTGCGAAGGTACTAAAGATGTTGGGCCGACTACTGGGAATGGATCTACTGGAAAATCCGGAAAAAACATGTTTCAACAAATTTTGACACCTCTTACAAGCTCTTACAAGCTATAATTGTCCATCCTATGGTTAAAAGTGTGACAAGTGGGGCTCGCTAGGGGAGAAAAAGACCCAAACCTAAAAAAAAAAAAAAAAAAAAGAACAAAAAATGGTTGCCACTTGACGGCGACAAGGCAAAAAGAAAAGTCACGTTAAGAGAAGGCTGGCCAATTTGTTGAGGATGACGCATTTGGCTCTATTTTGAAAGAAGGGACATTTTAACCGAAACGGGCCAATTCGCATTATCAACTCGGATGATAAAACCAAGTTACCTTTTAAAAATCCTCCCCACCGATGCAGCACCCTTGTCAGGGACGTGACCAGCTTTTCGACTTTTCTGCTTTCTCACAGGCATTTCAATTTTTTTTAAAAAAAAATTACAAGTATCTCATTTTCAAAGTCGAGCGAGCCGAAAAGTATTGTAAACCCGCGTCAAAGGGATTATAGGCTGGCTACACGTCTGACTACAACCCTCATATAACTGCACTTAGCTATACCAAACTACACCAAAGGACAAGATAGTTTGGTTTTATCAACCGAGCTCAGGTTCGAGATCAAGACTTCATGCGAGAAACTGCTCTTATAAAGAAGGAGAAAGAAATAAAGCTTTCTTACCAAAATTACTCCTCAGTGTTTCTGGTTGGTAAACAAATCTCAGAAGGCGTTCAACTTTGCGTAAACGAAATCGATCTCCTGAGTGTTTGCAGCAATGTTGTGCACAAAAGCACTTGTCATTTCCATGTCAGATTTTCTTGTACTCACAGAGAGCTCACAGCATAGCAGAATCTTTTGCCTTTTCCTGTTTCAATTTAAAGCTCTTAAAATAAGAACACAAAAGAAGTTGTATAAAATGACAAATAGTTAAGTAACGTTTCGGAAGTGATGAGCAGTAATAGGATCGTGTGTCTTAGATTAAACAACACAGTCACGAAATCAGTAAAGTGGGATGAAAACTGCTTTGTTCTGCAAAGAAAGATAAAATGAGCGGGTATATTGCGATAAATACTTGATTCCCAAACCCATAATGCTTTACATTTGAGAGTGAGAATCTTGGTATGAACTGTTTTCCACAAAAGCGTTTACTGTTCCAATAAACAAGTGACTTGATACTACTCTAATCCTCCTCTTAGGTCTGGTGAGAGCAATTTGAGTAGTGAAAGAAAATTAACAAGCTGCGGTGGTCGATATGAGATCCAATGGAAAAAACAAGATCAAAAATAGCTTTGTTCAAGGTAAGAAAAGCAACCTGCTGAGAAATGCAAAAATCCTACCGCTCAGGTTATTTACATAAGAAGCACTGATATACATCCGAGGTTGATTTCAGAACTGATAATTGTTGAACATATGATAAATCAATTAAGATCTGTAAATTAGCTCTAAATTATTCTTGTATTGAAAACAATCGTGGGGTATCAGGGCTTTTTTTTATCCATTAAGCGCTAAAACTGGTCTGAATGTTTTGACTTAGTGCGGTTTTAGATCATTGTCAGATACTGTTACATTTTGTCTTAGTTATTTACCATTGAATTCAGTTTCGTATGTCTACGTATGTTCCCTCGCAGGTCAGCCGTTGTTCGCGAGATCCCATTTGGCCTCTACACGGCTTTGATTTGTCTGTTTAGGCGAAGAAAGGTATGTTATTTCCTCTGAACTTCCTGTTTTAAAACGTTTACGCTGAGCGTTTAGCTTTAGTTTCTGAAAAGTGCATACTGTGGAGCGAGAAAACGGCTGTTTTTCTGTTTGTTCGATTGGTTTTTGGGCAAAATCGGCAAGAGAAATTTATTTAAAGTTTGGTCTCGGAAAAAACACACCAGTATTCAGTAGTTATCATAACCGTCCGAACTGTGTCATCTTAAGTGTCATTTGCTTCTGGTATGGATTCACCATCATCTTCAATCGGATGCACTTGAGTCCAAAATAGACAATCAGTACCACGATTTAACGGTTAAATTGTTGTTTTTCCTTTTCCCTTTCCCGTTTCATTCTCGATACCGAGCGCTATTGCCATGGCATCTCATCTTTATCGTGTTACAGAGCGTTTTTGTGGTTTGATCAGAAAGGAAGATAGATTTCCTTGAGAACAGTTTCATGAGTTATTGGAAAGGAAGCAAGAGCAGTAAATATACAGAGCGCGTGACCTTTAACAAACTAAAGGCTAAATTGAAAGGCCAGATTGTTGAAACGGGGGATCTAATAGAACACTTTTATCCAGGAGTATCTCAACTTCGAAAAGCTGTGGCGTGAACTTTAGGCAACATTACTCATCTCCCCTTTATTTATTTATTTATTTATTTATTTTTTCAGGTACGTGATACCCTTAGACTTGGTAATCATTTCAAATGATTACCGAATATAGCGTCTTTTAAGATCCTGTTAATGAAGAACGATTGTCACTCAGTTCCATATACACACTTAAAGCTTAGTAAGAAATCAGTTATCGCGATATAAATGATAATTTTTGCAATGTTAGGTACGGATCAAGGCATTATGTATCTGTTTCATCTTCACATTTTTGATTGATTTGTTTTTTAGTCCCTATGAAAGTGCTCCTAAATTAATAGATGAAGGTTTTAAAGTGTCTCAACACTGAAGTGTCGTTAAAAACTAAGTCTGTAACACGCCATGCTAGAAAACAAAGATTGATCACCACCTGAAAAAGAGACTCAAAGTTGCTTTGCTATTGTACTTAAGGTCCCAGCAGTGTCTGCTTGATATCTCAAGGCGGATGACAAAAGGCTGAAACGCGATGCGATAGTTAAAACCCCTCTACAAACTGTTCCATTAGGGTCTCATTTGAAAAACGTTTTTGTCCTCAAGTTCGATAACTGCATTGGGATGCATTATAATAGGTGAATCACGAGCAGACTGAACACTGTTAAGATTACACAGGGGTTGTAAGGTTGTTTTCCTTTAGCTTGGTGAACGCTGAGCCCCTGCCCATCCCATGTTTCCAAACGTTCCATCCCTTTTGCTGAAAGGCGCATGATTATTCGCATGTTCTGAAATATACCACGTGTAATCCAAAGCTATTTTTTCTTATACGAAACGTGTTGGGACATCGATTGTGTTAATCGCTCTGCCCCTGCCTATCCAACGTTTCAAAACGTTCCATTGCTTTTGCTGAAATGGATACATGATTACAGCTGTATTTACTTTTTAAACCTTCAAAATTGTAAATATGACATTTGTAATCTTACACTAGATTTTCTTGTACAAAAAACCTGCTGGGAAATCGATCACGTTTCTCGTCTTGAAGAATGGCGCACTCTTTCAAAGAGGTTAAAGGTCTAAGGACGTCTTTGATTGATACTGCACGTTATGAGATTTTACAAAACAACAACAAAAAATGCACGTTTATGCATATTTGAACGAGCATTTGTGATAGCAAAGGAAAATCTGCTTGATAATACATGCATCACCTTTTCACATGCCTTGAGAATGATAGCTTGACTTCGCCCTATTTGCTACAAATCACAGTCTTTGTTTGCGAGGAAAATCAACTTTACATTGAAGACTTTTAGAAAGAGAGTGTTCTTTTACGAATGACTTGCTCAAATCAGAGAAAGAAACTATTGAACAACTACTGAACAGATAAATATTCATATTTCAATTAAGTTCTGTAACTTCCTCTAATCATATCCTTGTATCGAAAGCACTTGAGGGGCATCAAGAGGGGTTCTATCAATTCGGCGCTGAGACTAGTCTGACTGATTTGTCTTGAGGCGATTTAATATCATTGTCAGATACTGTTAAGCTTTATTTACCTTTGAACACAGTTTCCGATGTCTTAGAGTCTTCTTTTTGCAAGTCAGCCGTTGTTCGAGAGAACCCTTTTGGCCTCAAAACGGCTTTCATTTGTCTGTTTGGCAAAAAAGTATGTCATTTCCACTGAGACTTCTCTTCAAAAAAGTTGTTTATACAATGTATCTAGTTTTGCTCTAAATAAAAAAAGATATAGATTGGAACGGGAATTTAGCGATGTACGTTCCACGAAGGGCCTCCTCTCGTTCACTGCTTCCAGGTCGAAGTGGAACTTGGAATGTTGCATATATACTTGAGAGCGAGAAACAGCTTATAGCTTTGTTTGTTTGTTTTATTCCTGTGCAAAATCGGCCAGAGGTAGTTTTTTTTTCTCTCGGTGAATACACCAGTTTTCCATACTTGTAGTTATCGTCTTTGTGGCAATTGTATCAAAGTGTTTCAGGCCCGGTGCGAAATCGGACACTTTGTCTACTTCAGTTGTCAAACTTTAATCAAAGAAAACACCCAACAGCAAGGAGTGATAAAAAAAAAATTGCACATCTCGGGATGGCACTTTATTTTCCTTACTTTAGTTGAGATCTCATAGTAGGTATTTGTTTATTCAGCTCCCCTGCAAACTGGCTTATAAATGAGAACTTGTGCAATGGAAAGGATGAATCTTTTCACTCTAGAGGTACAGTCTCTAGTCATGCTCTTTCAATGTTTTAGATCTAAGTCGATCTTTTGCTCTCAATCCGCACGTATTAACTTTATTTACCCTTCAAGAGAAGGCCTGTCAATGATAAAGCTATCCATCCGCAGATAAATGTCGAGGGTTAAGAGTTCTTGGACTTAGGAGTCTACTGGTGCCTGCTTGATATCACAAGAACGATGACAAAAAGCTGAAACGTAAGCACAGAATGCACTAACAAAAGTCCTTTACCAACCGTTTCACCAGAATGTCGTTTGAAATATTTTTTCTTCGTGGGCCGCTGCCTTGGGATGCATTATAAGAAATCCGTAACGAACGGACTGGAACTTGCTAAGATTAAGGGATCTACTTATACAGAAAAAGGACACGGAAGCTATTTTGGCAGATTCTATAATTTTGTTTACGTTTGGCTGGTGGCGCCGAGCCCCACGTCTCAAAACCTTCCAACGCTTATTGCAAATTATTTTCTTTGATTTGTTTAGTTTGACTGTAATGGAACGCTATATTTTCTTGTACAAAACGTGTCTGGACATCGATCGTTTTATTCATACTAATAATAGCGCACACTTTTGAAGAGGTTAAAGGTCTAAGGAAGTCTTCAATGCATGCTGCACGAAACGAGATACCTCAAAACAACAGCAAAAAATTTTCTTTGTTAAAAATCTTAACAGCAAAGGCAAATCATGTGCTGTTTGGTACTACAGGTTTTACTTTTTCACATGAGATGAGAATGATAAGCTTACCTTGCGCTATTTGCAAAATTAAAATGTTTCCCGTTTGCATGGAAAAACGACTTTAAAACCCTCAAGGACCACCCTTTAACGCATCTCAAAAGAGTTTGTTCCTCTTCACTTGACGAAAACAAATATAAATCAGCGAAACTAATCTACCTCACTGCAGGACATAATTTCAAAGTGAAATCCAGAAGATCAAAAAACAAATAGCGTTAGTTGCTTCTAGAAAAAAAAATGTGCAAAGCCATTTGAGGATCCTGGTTTAAGGAGAAAAAGGATTTTTCTTTTCTATCTCAAGCGAAAAAAATGGTGTAGGAATAAATTGAAACACTACCGGTTTAGTATTTGAGTTCAGAACTCCTCAGCTCTAATTTGATCCTCAAATGTGAACTTTTACTTGTAATTCAAATGTTCCCGGGGATTAATTCTGAGCGTTATACCACAAAGAAGTATACGTTAAAACCGGACAAAGTGTTTATTTCCATAACTCATACAGATGTTCATAAAGTTATTTTTCCTGATGTTCTGAAGAATCACATTGCGTGCAGCAATCGTAGGTTATCCTTACGGAACTTTAACCCCTAAAAAATAATGCACTTTTCTTGATGACATTAGATCATAAGATAAATCCACACATTTGTATATAGTGTCTGTACGTTTGAAAATCTTCTATCGCAGGCCAGCCCTTGTTCTAAACCAGCCTTTTCACTTCTGCTCGGCTTCGATTTATCTGTTCACATCACTTCTGCCATGCATTTACCTTCATTTAGCTTCATTTTGTCATCATTGTAGCTGGGCATAGCATGACGCAACAGCCAAGTCTGTTTCATAAGCTCATGGACTCCCGCAAAAATGACGAGGATATTTAACATATAATTTCATCTTTGGAATACACTTAGTCTTAAAACAAAAGAAAGCAAATATTACCGCATAAAATTCCAAGTAGATTTAGTGGATTTCACTGAAAAGAAATTATTACCTTGCTAAGAGGTTTAACGAAGTCTCAAACATGCAGCTATGGTACGGAAAGGTCACGTCGCTAGTTTTAAGTTTTGTCGCGCAGTAAAGATAAAATATATAGCTCGACTAAATTTCTCGGAATTGCGGTTGAGAAAATAAAACCTCTCATTTTTCTGACAACAAAGAAAGGATTTGGAATTTCATAAGTGGCTCATTTATGGGGGGAACGAAAACACCTGTGTCTGTAATCAACACGCATTCGTAACTTAGTAGTTTGAGGTTAGGGCCTATCCACGATTCCGTCTATTGTTCACGATTTAAACCTGTATTAAAAGCTTTTGCCAAATTGAAACATTTTGATCTCTTGCCACTGAAGACGAGAAAAATCTAAGTTGAAAGGTAAATAGCAAGTTTTCGTTGACATAGAATAACAGCAGTCTAGTTTCTGTCTGAGACACTTTGCTACTTTTATCCGATTTAACGGAACAGATTCCACAAGGAGAATTTTCTTCGAGTAAGAAAACTCCCGCTTGCCAAAACAATATCTCAGTCTGTACGCGTTTACTCACTTTTGCGGGGGGCAAACGTTTTCATCTCAACCTTCCATTTCACAAGGTTGGTGCGATAATTAGTGCTTAGATGAAAAAGGTTACTGCAAACTCTATGCTCCTTTTCTTACCAAATCTCAAAGCTATACTTCGCTTATTCCATGCTTTTGAATTGATCTAGTCAGCCATGTAGTACAGTGTGGCTTTTTGCCCAGGTGCTGAGAGCGAATGAAGCTTTCTGTTCTACTATCCAACGAACGTGAAGCAGGGCCTCTGCGAACTCACTGTTTGTCTTCCCTCCAAATCCAAAAGCACTTTTGCGCGATGACGTCAAAAAAATTTCTCGCAGCGTCAAACCGAGGCTTGGTGGTGATGGCTTGGCGTGTTTTGTTGGTGTTTAGAGATATAATCAATTCCCCTCGTCTGTTTTTTTCACTTTTTGTTCGAAATGTCTCAATGGTGTAATGCCTAGGGCTGTACAAACTCTTCAGACATGAAAATCAAAAAGTCCTGGCATCGCTTACCGCTGGAGAACAAAGAACTGCTTTCGAAATGGCTTGCAAAAATTCGGCGAACAAACACACTAGTTAATGAGCACTCGAGGCTATGTGGCGACCACTTTGAAGCCGACTGTTTTAGGAAAATCCTGGGTTCCTTGCTTGTCAACTTGAAACCAGGGTCAATTCCCACAAAGTTTTTCTTTGTGCAAGAAAAAACACCGAGGAAACCTCCAGGAGAGCGAAAATCGGTCAAACGAAAGCAGCCGACTCCGTACGTAAACACAGCGTCGGACGATTTGCCAGAAACATGTGATGGCTTTGAAAGTGAAAACATTGGCTGGATCAATAAGGTCCTTATCGAGGGTACTATTTATATAACTTTGAACTCTGAAAGGGACAGTTGATTTCTTTTAGTTTGATCATCCAACGTAAAATACCGGTATGCCGGAGAAATAAGCTATTCACGTGTATTTACCTTTCGACTAAGTATCGCTTTGTTCCGCTCAATTTCGCTCCTTTCCTGCAGGAAAGCCATCTCTTTAATGCAGGAATAGTCAGTTGACTAGGGGTGTTCACTCTTAAGGAAGCTCCCTTGATATCATCCTTAGAAAGAGTGATTTTAGGCGAATTTTCTACAGCCATATCCGATGTGACATACATTTTTCTTTGATACTCCCGCGAAACCATGTATGTATGTATGTATGTATGTATGTAAATCTTTATTTAAACACGGAAAATCATCAGTTACATAATACAAACTAGGATTAATCAACTGTTTTACATGATTGCTGTGTGGGAATCCTATATATCGACTACGTTAAGGTTTCGTCTAAAATGGTTAATGGATGAAGCATTTTTTAAGTTTTTGGGCAATTTATTCCTTAACATGGCCCCGCTGTAAGAGAAGCTTCGTTTCAAATAATTGATGTTTGGTTTGGACAGGGCCAGCCTTCCCTCAGAGTTTCTTATGTCGTACACAGAGTGACGCTGAGAGAAAAGACTTTGTAGATATTCGGGAGCAAGACTGTTTATAATTTTATACACATTAGGGCTTTTTGTTTCTCTCGTCGAAGAGAGAGCCTCTCCCAATCGAGGGTGGAGAGAAGGTGGTTTAAGCTCGTATCAAAGGGTAATTTAGTAATAATCTGGCTGCTCGATTCTGTAATTTTTGGAGCTTATCGCTTAAGTAGCCACTTATACAGTCCCAGACGGGGCTGCAGTAATCAAAATGAGGAATAATCAAAGCGTTATAAATTTGAATTGAAGTTTCTTTGGATATAAAGGGCCGTACAGGTTTTAGGGCGCCTATAGCTGAAGAGACTTTCTTGCAAATCTCTTCAACGTGGCTACCCCAAGAGAGTTGGGCATCTATAGTAAGACCCAAAGATTTGGTCTTGTCGACTCTCTTAATAATTTGGTCATCAATTCTGATTTCTAGGTCGTTACATTGGGTAGATAGTCTTTGTCTTAATCCAATAATCATTAAATCTGTTTTAGCAACATTTAGACTGAGCTTGTTAGCTTTCAGCCAACGGCTAAGGTTATTCAATTCAGGGGTTAGAGCTATCTCAAGCTCTGTTAATGTCTTAGCAGATATCGTAAGATTTGTGTCATCGGCAGACATTCTTGGTGCGGCGCCCCACAGGGAGTTGGAAATATCATTAATGTATATTAAAAATAGCAAAGGACCCAATATGCTACCTCGCGGCACGCCGCAACTGAGGGTACGGGCAGATGATAGTTTGCCACCGACACTACATCTCTGAGTTCGGCCACTCAAGTACGACGAGAACCACTTAATAGCTGCCAGATCGACACCCAAGTATGACATCTTGCGCAAGATTATTTCATGATCAATGGTGTCGAATGCCTTAGTAAGGTCAATAAAGACAACGCCGTTTAAGAGACCATTGTCGATATTTACCGACCAAGAATTTGTTGCCTCAAGCAAAGCCGTAAGCGTACTATGTAGAGAACGGAACCCTGATTGGCAACCCAATAGCAATTTGTTATCATCTAGATAACGAAAAAGTTGATTGTAAACAATTCTTTCAAAAACTTTGGAAATTATAGGGATTACAGATATTGGTCTATAGTTGTTAGGATCCGATTTAATACCCTTTTTGAAAAGAGGAGTCACTTTGGCCGTTTTCCAATCATTTGGATATATCCCCGTGAGGATAGACTTAGAGAAGATTGAGGTGAGAGAGGGTGCGATGATATAAGCAGCCATTTTCAATAATTTACTCGGAATCATATCAAGACCAGTGGCTTTCTTTTCGTCAATTTT